ACCTTGCGGTTAGCAGTCCAGTGCTTATCCTGCAGCGCCACACCAGGACTCCAATATGTGTGTAGTAATAATCATAACAACAACAAATAACAACTAACTTATTCAGTGCCAGGCACATGCTCAGGGCTGTCTGTGTTCTTTTTTTAACCCTCACAATAACTCTGAATTTACAGGTAGGCAAACTAAAGCCAGCGAGGTTTTGTAACTTATCCAAGGTCCTACAGTTAGTGAGGGATTCCCCCACCCCAGCTGGCTCCCATGCTCTGAGTTACTCTGCAGGTCTGCCTTTTTTCCTGCACTTTTCAGACATGATCCATTTTAGAGCTGGGGCAGGTCTTCTGGGGAAGTGTTCAGTCTGTGTAGGAGGGGAGCAGGTGCTGCCCTTTAGGTGCTGCCAGGACCAAGATCCATGAGCTGGACAGGGCAGGCCTTCCCACTGCAGACTCCAGACCAGTGGGGCAGGGTAGACTGATAAGGCATTGGCTTGTTATATCGACCTTTGCACAGTTGCAGCGTAAGTAAGACATACCTGGGGGGAGATGGCACCGATGATGTAGCCACGCTAATGATGGAACTTACTTTGCTATCTGGATAATAATTTTGTACTTTTATTCTTTTGTAAAGCAAATCACACCAGGGCTTGCACTTTCCAGCCAACCGGGTCAACATCGTAGACGTTGGACAGAGTGTCACTTTCCCCTCCCCTAGAGAAAAGGCAGGACATGTGCGTCCCATAACCATGTCTTTAAAACTGGAGGGTCTTGACCTATTGGGGAGGGTTTGAAATCCATTTAATGGGTTGTAACCAGCCTTTTAAGAAATGAAATAGACTAATTCATGGAAAGCCTAAGAGCATATTGCCCATGGTAACTTTAGTATTGGTGATTTGTTGTTAGGTGCCATCGAGTCGGTACCAACTCATAGCAACCCTATGTCCAACAGAACGAAACACTGCCCAGTCCTGGGGATAGAATGCCTATATTTGTTTACTAAATTGTTGTTATTGTTAAGTGCCATCAAGTTAGTTTTGACTCACAGCAACGCTGTAAAGGGTTTCCAAGGAGCAGCTGGTGGGTTTGAACCTCTAGCCTTTCATCTAGCAACCCGATGCTTACTTATCTTACAACATCACATGTTTACTAAGAGGCAGATGTGAATTGTATTTCTTACTGTGAAATAAAGATAGATTCCTACTTAAGCAGGATTCCAGTCAGTTCTGATATAAGTTGAGTATCTCTTTTTTAAGATTTGTTTTCATTATTAATGCCTTTTACTATCAGTATGGGCTCCTGGTGTGATGCTGTAGGGTCAGCACTGGACTGTGAACACAAGGTTGGTAGTTCAAACCCACCAGCTGCTCCTTGGATGTCCTATATAGGGTCACTATGCTTTGGAACTGATTCGATGGCACTGAACAACAACAACAACATTATGAGTATCTATATAAATCATAACATTAAACATCTGTGAATAACAGCATCAGTAAATTATACACTGCATTGTTGTATGTAGTACAGATTACTAATAATAAGATGTACCAAAAAAAAAGGTGGTTGTAAGTGCTTTTCATTGTAACTCAGATGCATAATGAATCAGGGTCTACTTCTATTGCCCTGAACTCTGCCCAGTGCTGGATTTGCACAACTGTGACCCAGTCATTGGACTAGGCACTATCCCCAAGTAGTCTACAAAGGTCAAGAGGTAGTGTCATACAGGAGGAACTGGCTGGAAGCCCAGCTCTTCCTCTCACTGCTTTGTGACCTTAGGCCAGTCACGTGACCTGTCTGTACCTCGTTTCATCGTCTGTGAATGGAAACGGTTCAGTCCCCATCTCATGGGGTAAGTGTGAGGTTCTTGATGGCCATGTGTGACAGATGGCTTGGTACAGAACTCGGGAAGAAGCTCGTGCCCTGTGTCTGGTTAGTCTTACTGTGATTTCTGCAACCATCAACATTGTTCCCCTTAGCATGGGCACCCAACCTCATAATCGTCTTGCCAGGTGGCAACTTGTCTGTCAAGTAAGGAACAGCCCTAACCCCATAGAAAGTAGGAGATCGAGCTAAGTTGCAGGACCATCAAGTTCCTCAGCTCGTGAGCACCCCCTCCCACCCTAGCTAGTCTGCCGTTGCGGTGGTTGATTTTGTGAACCTCAAACTTCCTCCCCACCCTAGAGAAGCAAAAGCTTCTACACTCATTTAAAGACTTCCTTGATTTTAAAAATAGTCATTCCTCAGAACACAGCTCCCCAGGGGGTTTGTGATCTTGTGCCCACCTCCCTCTCACCCTCACAGAGATAAGCACTCAGCCCCTCAGCCCCCCACCTCCCCTGGGGACCCATTCCTCCAGCGGAATAGAGGAGAGGGGGTGGGATATACTCACTGGTCAGTCAGAAAGTCTTCCCTGAGCTGGGATGCTGAGGGAGACCTGAAAAACACAAGGAAGATCAATCAGTTGATGGACTGAAAGGGAGGGGCATTCCATGCAGCAGAAGTAGCAAAGGCGCAGTATTGCAGGGAAGGGGGTGATGGGGGGTACTGCAAGGGATAAAAGGTATGATGGAGAGCATGCATGGCCAGAGAGTTAAGAGGTGAGGTCAGGTAGGCTGACAGAGACCATGGCATGCAGATCTCGGCCTGGGCCACAGGAAGGCGATTTGGTCTTGATTTTTAAGAGTGCTAGGGAGCAGTGGGAACCAAGTAAAAGGCTTTGGTCTAGATTTTTAAGAGTGTTCAATAGGAGTCTTTCAGGGATCCCCCCAAACCACCCTCAGGTTTAGTTATTTGACTCCCTCGCTCTCTTACTCTTATTCGTAATTCCTCTAGCTCCTCCCTTCAATACATCATTCATCACACAGTTCTCTGCAGGTTAGATCTCGCCACAAAAATGGCAATTTCTTTGGGTTGATTCAAATAGGAAACAAAAATGCAAGTTTCTTTCCCTGCCTTCCTCCCCACTAAAACTAGTTGCCATCCAATGGATCTCTACCTAGTTGGTGGGTCTTTGGTTTTGTAAGATACATTCTATTCTGTAACTTGCAGGTTTTCACTTGATTGTCTGTCAGAGCCTTCTTCTAGGCCCATCCCTGTAGGCCAGCAGATGTGTTGCATTTTCAGCAGCTGCATGGTGTTCCGCAGTGCAGACCACCCGCAGTGTGTTTCGCAAAGACTTTGATCCAGTTGTTGGCAATTGTATCAGACCACTGTAAGCATCCAGTGTGCACACACACTGGTCAGGCAAAGAGTGGAGGCATTTTAGGTAGAAAATGGCTGATTTCCCCTAACCTATCTTTGGCCCATCAGGCAGACCAAATTATCCTCTAAAAAAGGATGCGTCCACTTACACAACTACTGGGTTCAGTATATGCAAGTACCCACTTTCCTCTGTCTCTGGTTGGTGACATGGTATGACCTCAGCAAGTGGTCTCCCCTCTCTGCACCTGTTTCCCTTTCTGTAAAGCAGAGCGAATGCTCCTTCCTGCCCCAGCTCACTTCTTAGCATTGTTGCCAAGTTGCAAGTATAAAGCAAGGGTAAAAGGGGCTGGGGAGTGGCCTGTAAACTTTAAAGGAAGGAGCAGCAACTGCTGGGATTGGTTACAGAACAGACTTTGACCAAGTAGTTCTGTGACCTCTGAAGAAGGCTGTCTCCTCCTGGGAGTCCCAACAGACATGTGGCCAATGAAGACAGAGAGAGGGAGCGGGGACTCATAGCCCCAAGTCTGCTCATCCTAGGCTGGCTCTTGCACACAGCCTTACATTACGGTCTTCTCTAGTTGCCATCTGCCTGGCGTTCACAAGGCTGTGCGTGTATTCTAGAACACAGAC